CCCTGGACTGGTTCCGGGCCCGCCACCCCGCCCCCGTCTTCGTGGTCACCAGCGATGACATGGCCTGGTGCCGGCGGAACATCAACAGCTCCCTCGGGGACGTGGTGTTCGCGGGCAACGGTCGCCAGGGCTCCCCCGCCAAGGACTTCGCGCTGCTCATGCAGTGCAACCACACCGTCTTCACCGTGGGCACCTTCGGGGTCTGGGCCGCCTACCTTGCAGGAGGGGACGCCGTCTACCTGGCCAACTTCACCCTGCCCCACTCCCGCTTCCGCACGATCTTCAAGCCACAGGCGGCCTTCCTGCCCCAGTGGGTGGGCATCGCCGCCAACCTTGGGCCTGCCGGAGAAAACAGCCCCTAGCCCTGTACGTGTCCCTCCCTCATCCTCGGGGGACAGGCAGTGTATGGGGTCCAGCACAGGGGCTCAGGATTGGCCCCCCAAGTTTGAATCCAGGCTGCTCTGCTTCTCGGCTGGGTGACCTCGAACAAGCGACTTAACCTCTCTGTGCCTTGGAGTGCCGCCTGGAAAATGGATGAAATACAGAAGCTACCTCGGCAGCCGCTCCTGAGAACTCGGTTCATTTAGAGCCTGGAAACGTGGTGAGTGCTAGCGGCCCAGGAGATGGGAGCCGAGTTTTGCTCTCTCCTCTGCGGCTCTGGGAGCACAGAGGCCAGATATTTTGCCCTTGCCTCCTGGGAGGGTTTGGCGATGAAGCCATCCCTGCTCTCAACTAAAGGGGAGTGGGTGTTTTTGGCAGCTAAGAATTCAGGCTTTGGGTTTAATGGGGCCTTATGAAAACACACTAGAGGCCTGGTGCACCACATTCGTGCACTGCCGGGGGGGGCGGGGGGAGAGAATCCCTCAGCCTGGCCTGTGCCCTTTAGCAGCCTGGGAGCCCTCGGGGGATGTCCAACTGACGGCTTAGGCCCGCAGTCGGACATCCTTAAAGCTGCTGTGGAGGCAGGAGAGGCTCCTGCCGCCTCTGCGCTCACCCAGCTTCTAGCTGAGCAGCACTTCCCCTGTGGGAGCGCACTGACCACCAGGGGGCAGCTCCTGCATTGAGCGTCTGCCCCTAGTGGTCAGTGCACGTCATAGTGGCCCGTTGTTCTGCCATTCAGTGGATTTGCATATTAGCCTTTTATTATGAAAAGACATGAGAGAAAACAGGATTTGAGGGGCTGAATCTCAGGGAGATGAAAAGACAGAGGAAACAGGATTTGAGGGGCTGAATCTCAGGGAGATACCCTTGGTGGCGAGGGAGTCCCCTGAATTGGGGGTGGGGAGGGCCTCACAGCGATGGCAGGACTCAGGCAGGACCAGGCCTGGAGCTGCAGCAGCAAAGACACCCGCATCCACAGGTCACAAAAGCAGCGGGGGGATGCCGTCCACCTGGCTCTCATGCGGGAGTGGGCACGGGGCAGGGTGAAGGTGCCCAGGTGGACGGCGTCCCCTCCTGCGAGGTAGGTCCACAGAGACCCAGAGGGCCACGGAGACCATGGCCAGGTCAGCGGTTGCTGTGTGCACAGGTGACCTCCCCCTCCCCCCTGGGCACTACTGTGCCCAGGACTTCATCCACTCTGAGAAACGCCAGTATGGACCAAGGTTGAATATAATGATGATTGGTTTTCTGTGTTCAGTGTGTTTTGAAGTGTGGAGATAACGGTCTTTATTGGTGTAATTCTCCTTTTTGGATATTAAAGAAAAACCTCTTAACAACAATCATTTATACTCATTTAAAATTTCCACCGAACAGGTGCCCTGGTTTAGAAAGCATTTAGATCACATCTCTTTCCTGTTTTAAGTGCTTTTCAAGTGTCTTATTTCTTTGAATCCCCATTTTGTGCATATGTCTGAGGAGGGCACCTCTCCTTTCGTGTATTAATAATATTGCAGCTCCCCAGAGCCATTCTGGGCCTCAGTCTGCTTGCTTGAGTCTTTGATGGCATCGTCATGGTATGGGGCCGACAATGAAGGAAGCAGGAGGAGGGTTGGGGAGGGGTGGGGGGAGTGGAGAGGGAGGCCCTGTATTAGCTATCTATTACTGCGTAACAAATAACCCCAAACCCAGTAGCATAGAATGACAGTAATTCTTGGTTATTTCTTATTGTTTCTGGGGGTCAGGAGTGTGGGAGGGGCTTAGATGGATGATTCCGTTTGGGATGCCCAGTGAGGTTGCCCTTAGGTGCCAGCCAGAGCTGCTGTCATCTGAAGGCTTGACCGGGGCCGGGGGATCCCTTCTCACGGCTGGCAGTTGGTGCTGGCTCTCGCTCTCGGTCACATCCTCTTGGTGTGAGCCTCCGTGGGGCTGTTTGAGTGTCTTCACCGCATGGCGCTGGGTTCCGCCAGAGAGAGAAACCCAAGAGGCCAAGGTAGAAACTGTGGTGCCTTTTGCAACCGAGCCTCACCTAGTCACACACTGTTACTCCGTCTTACGCTATTGATCACACAGGCAGTGATTCTCCTTGGGAGGGGACTACACAAGGGCGTGAAGACCAGGAAGCAGGGATCCTTGAGGGCCATCTGGGGGCTGCCATGACAAAGTACCACCGAGTGGAGGGTTGAAACCACAGAAATTTATGTTCTCACCATCTGGAGGCTGGAAGTCCAAGATCAGGGTGTCAGTGGGGTTATTTCCTCTGAGGCTAAGAGGGAGGGTGTGCCCCAGGCCTCTCTCCTTGGCTTATGGATGCCAAGTTGTCCCTGTTTTACATCTTCCCCCTGTACACGCCTGTGTCCTGATCTCTTCTTCTTAGAAGAGCACCAGTCATAATGGATTAGGGCCACCTAAGGAGTTCATCTTAATTTAAATTTGAAGTTTTTTAAATTTCTTTTTTTATTTGAGAGAGAGAGAGAGAGAAATATTGATTTGTTGTCCCACTTATTTATTAATTCATTCATTGATTCTTTTTTCAAAAATCTTTGTATTGATTTCAGAGAGGAAGGGCGAGGGAGAGAAAGAGAGAGGAACCTCAGTGATGAGAGAGAATCACTGATCGGCTGCCTCCTGCACGGCCTACACTGGGTGTCAAGCCCACAACCCGGGCATGTAGTGGGAATCGAACCGTGGCCTCCTGGGTCATAGATTGATGCTCAACCGCAGAGCCATGCTGGCCAGGCAATGGTGGATTCTTGTATGTGACCTGACTGGGGATCTAACCCGCAACCTTGGCATATCAGGATGATGCTCCAACCCACTGAGCTACCTGGCCAGGGCCTGACTTCATTTTAATTTAATCACACCTATAACAATTCTGTCCCCAAATGTGGTCCCAGGCTGAGGTCCTGGGGGTCAGGAAACAATTCAGCCCGTAACAGCTGGTCCTACAGGCTCCCACCTCCACGCCCAGCCCTCCCCCAACAGTCGGACTGGCTTCACTCCCCTTCCTTTTCCCTCCATTCCCAGCTCCTCGGATGACTGACCTTAGCCAGAGTCTTTCCCCAAATTATCCCTTTTGGAGAGAGACTCAAGCCAGAAGGAGAGAGGACCCGCAGTCCTCAGCCTGGCCCTCGGTCAAGTTCAAATGCAACAGTGTTGGTGTACAGACGTGGATGGCAGCTGTCCCTCACATTCCAATGAAATATTTGTGGGGTCCCTTCCTGTCAGGCAAGTCTCTACTCCGACTTTCTCCGCCCTGCTCTGTGCCTGGCGGGCTGTCTGATGGACCACGTGCTGTGGGCCGAACGTTTGTGTCCGCCCCACATCCACAGGCTGGAGCCCCAATCCCCAGTGGGGCCTTCGGGAGATGATGTGCGGGTAGAGCCTCGTCAGTGGGACTGGTGCCCTTATAGACACACAGCCCGCTGGCATGGCTCCGCGGCTGAGCGTCGACCTACGAATCAGGTCACAGTTCAGTTCCCGGTCAGGGCACGTGCCCACGTTTCCGGCTCAATCCCCAGCGGGGGGTGTGCAGGAGGGAGCCGATCAATGATTCTCTCTCATTATTGATGTTTCTATC